ACTGCCGGACTTTTGTATTCGGTTTACTTCCAGGTATCTCACCTTTTACAGAAAGTGAACTGTGGAAAGAACGTTTTGTTTTCGATTTTGGCAAATTAAGAGATGTTGTTAGTTACAGGGTTATATCACGCAAGGAAATTTTTCAAGTGCCGGCTTAGGAACGGCGCATTTGCTTGTCAAAAATACTTTTGATCGAAGTACCGATGTTCCACTGGGTGTAAATATTGGTCGAAATACGGTCGGTATTTAAAAGCTTGGAATCTTTTTTTGTGAGGGTTCTGTTGCTCAAAATATTAGTTTTTCAATGTATGTAGAGCTCATTATTACTACAATTATAAGAACATTGTCATTTTTTTAGTATGAAGTTAACAGTTATTACTATTTTGATATTTAACGATAGCTGACTGGCCTGATGTAGTGGCAGATAAGCTGAGGGTCAAGAATTTGGCCTCGCCGGTGAGACAACCAATCCCTCTACGACTCGTTCATGTATTTCGATCGTAAACTAGTAGTTGGGCTCGCCAGGAAATCAGGACACCATCTGTTTGTTTTTAAGTAGTCCACTGTATGTTAGAGTCATTGTCATACTTACCAAATAGTTGGTATTTACATACGCTATCACTCAGGCTATTTTCGAATGCCTCCAAGAACGTAAATTTGGGAGGCGCGTGGGGAGAGCGGGGGGATCATTTTAGGCCATTTTCTTGCAAGTTGCATTTCTCCGTTTGTTTTCACTTACGGGATTTATATCAAACATTTCGAGTTGGTTTTTCAGAGATTTGGTTTTCTTCAGGAATTCCATCGACTGAAAACAGATTATGGCCTTGGTGTCGATTATTTTGGCAATTTTAGTGACTATTTAGTTGTAAATTTTGGCGTTCCAAATGGTGCTGAGAAACTCTCCGATTTGGAAATTGTACAGTTTATATTAATTTCTTTAAATAATTTTTAATTTACCTGTTGTATTCGTTTTCGAATGAAACATTTTGCGTTTTTTCTGTCTTTTTTGGTGTATATTTTTTGAATTTTTTCTTTATTTTCCGAATTTTTTTGTCCATTTTTCTTTTGATTCTCTTTAAATTTATGATAAAATTACGAAATATTTTAGGCTTTGCAAGGTGTCACATCCAGTACAACTCGTATGGCAATTTCGAACGAGCGGCAGCCAAAAATTTTGATTAAAATCTCACCAGATTTGCCGGATTCAGATTTGAAGGCGGTAGCACAAGTTTGTTTTTTGGGATTTTTTTCAAAACAGTTTTTTTTTTTGATGTTGCAGTCAGTGCGCTGTGGTGCTGGCATGCGCGGAGCGACTTTTAAAAAAGGGTTATTGATTGGGAGGGAATCGAACCACTCGTCTTCACATTCGGACTCGACGTGCTAAACCACTGCACCACCGACCATTTTGCTCAGCGCATCTGCTGGAGCACCTATAATCTGTACATATGGCATTCCCACACATACTCTGTATTGTCTGACTGCTGCACCTTGCGCCAGTAATTCCTTTTCAATAACTGCCGGGTTTCGTGAAACTTCCGCAGCACACTTCCTCATCCTTTCCGTTCTTCATCGCTCCCCTCTTCCCTCAAATGTACGTTACTTAGTCAATCAGCAAAGGACCTACGCCATTTAGTCCTTATATCCATCTTTCTTAGCCCCACTCCCCTGCATCGAACGAAATCCGCCACACACCACCAACACGACTGCATAGTTACTGTAGCTGAAGATGCACCACTTGGTTTTCCAACAATTTGTAGTAAAAAAAAGAAAAACAGGCCGTATTTTAGATGTCGCTTGATAAACGATATGGAATTGATGGTGTAATTATTTCAAATTTCACTGCTCACAGATCACAAGAGAATACGGGTACAACCGATGGTTTTGTAAGTGGAGAACCGCTACGTGATATCAGCACCGATTGCATACGTCATTTTTATAGGCATGTTTCAATGGCGTGAAAAAAATGTGGGGAATGAAACTAAAAAATTGATATGGTGCCTTATTTTCACCAGGGTTTAGCTATGTTGGAACGACATGCACACATGCACACACACAAGCATATATACATACATACATACACACACACATACACATACACGCATACACACATACACATACATACATACATACATACATACATACATACATACATAAATACACGCATACACATCTCGAAATAGCTAAAACCTTAGTTACTGAGATGATAATTCCCTCAGATGACTAAGCCAATGTCAGAGTCTCTAGCGGGCTGGCTATTAAACTAGTTTTAGCAACCATTCGAGTGATAAAGTTGCTCAAGTTTACGCCCCAAGCTATCCAAATAATCAGTATTTTGGTAAAATTATCAACTATATATAATGATGAAATTATCAACTATATATTAAAATTAGATTTAAAACTAAATTTAAAAAAAAGAAGAGAAAAAATGCTATAAAATTAAGCAAAAAGGAAATTTGGCGGAAATTAAAACTTAGAAAAGTTAGTAAAATGGAGTGAAATTTTTCGGACCATGAAATGGAGAGATGTTGTTTAAAAGCTATAAAAGGTCTTAAAGCAACGAAATTACTGCTTTCACATTTTTGAATTGTTTATTTTTTGTTCAGATTGACAGCTGGCAAGGTTCCAATAATTGGCTGCGGCGGAGTATCATCTGGTCAAGATGCGTACGATAAAATACGTGCCGGTGCAAGCCTCATACAGCTTTATTCGTCATTGCTTTATCAGGGTAACGCATATTAAAGCCACCTGGACAGTTGGTGTATGTGTGTGTTGTGTGTGTGTGTGTGGGTGTGTGTGTGTGTATGAGTTACATGTAGTGTTGCGCGGCAAAGATTGAGAAGAGGTAGAAGGAAAACGAAATTTTTGTAGATTTTGACTTTATTACATGTTTTTTGCTGCCTTTCATTCAAGTTTCATCAAAAAGTTTCGGATTTTTTAAGCGGGTTGTGGGGAGGAAGTTCAAATTGAGGGGAGTCAAAACAGAGAAGTCACTGGAGTTAAGGGAATAAAATTTACCTGTTCCTTTTTTAGGCTTTCCTGTTATTGGAAAAATAAAACGAGAATTGGTGGAACTTCTCAATCGTGATGGTTTCAAGAATGTTTCGGAAGCCGTTGGCGCAGATTATACGAAGAAATAGTCTTGCGCCCACTTTTCTGTTGAAGGTCTTTATTGCATATGTAAATTCATATTATGAATTTTCCAGATTTTCGGCCTTTGTAGTAGCTGATTTTTCAGATTTTCGGCTTTTCGGCTTGAGGAGAAAGTCAGTGATGTTACTGGGATGTTCCTGCATTTTGGGCGCAACTACACTAAACTTTTCGTTCTTGAGCTGTAATCTCGAATTAATACTTTTCTTACCTGTTCGGAATATAAACGTTTATTCCCTCGGGAAGGGGGGGGGGTAATGTTCCCTCCTTCTCAGCCGTTCAAGAGTTATTTCTGAGCGGTAAACTAACTTAGTTTCTTTTGTTAAAAATAGGGGGATTCCTTGGCTTTTGAACAGGAACCAAATGGAAATTTTGGTGTCGTCGATAGAGGAAAAATATGGAGTCGTCTAGCAAATATGCTATTTTTGAGCCTCATTTGCCTCAGTATATCAGTTTTTTTTCCCAAAGATTTGGGTGCTAATTCAGCTTTTCTGAACTCATTTGGTTGCTTCATAAATAGTTTGGCGCTTTTAACTCTTTTTCTGCTTTTTTTTTTGCTGAATTTTTCTTTTCTTGTTTCTTTTTCCTACACAAAGGCGAGTTTGCCTCATCCCTCAACAGGAGGGGTGTAGGCGTTTATCAGTTGTTAGTTGTTATTGTTGAATACAGAAAACTGACAATAATCGTACATAGTAAATTGGTGAATTTGTCCCTCGAAACGCGCCGAAGCCTATTTTTTTCCCTCCTCGTCCCTCAAACTCCACAAATCCCTCAGACTTGTGGGAGTTTTCTTTTGTAATTTGCTTACACACGAAAAAAATAACACCTGAA